GAAGTTTCTATGCAAGTGTTCTGCATTCATTTATGCCATTATTGTAAACCAGAGACCAAAAGGTCATAAACATGCACTAATCCTTTTGCTTTTAGGTAAAAGTTAGATACAGCAATGAATATCTCATAGAAGCTTGTACCAGTTTGATCTTATGTCTGTGTCCATTCCATGGGGTGACACAGTAACCAGCAAAAACTGATAAGTTGGAGTTTTTCTCTCCATGATTATGCCATTTAGAATAGCCATTGATATAGATATTATATGAATTATGGGATTCGACACTGGGGCTCTTTGTTTAACTTGAATATGTTACGTAACTATTCTTTATCCTGTCCTTGTCCTATGCAGACTATAGGAAACCCTCCTCCATCCACAGCATCCATTGAAGACACAACATAAAGTAAGAAGCTGGGTAGTTTAGTTTGGAACATAGGTACATTATTGTGAATAAATATCATCTGTTTTATTGTTCATTTATGCTGGTTTTTTTGCTTCCTCTGGTGTCAGTTTTCAACATATTCTTTGCTTGATAGTCCTGACCCTGCATTTTATGGGGATTTTAATTTATCTATCAGTTATCAGTGTTCCTGACCTAAGTACTAACTATACCTTGACACATTCATTACAGTTGGATTTTTTTAAATCTGTTTAATATAGCTATTTAATAAAGTATTTCATTTTATAACAGGCTTTTTTCATATAATATATATAATACAAATAAGAGTGAATTATGAAATATGTATTTTTCTATTTTATTTTTTCTATCCAAAGTATGTTGCAGCTTTCGCTGTTTCTGCATTAGCATCAAACTGGGAAAGATTGGGAAAACCTTTCAATCCTTTGCTTGGAGAAACCTATGAATTAGTTAGGTGGGTTTATTGCTTCATTAGTTATCAAGTTATGTATTAGCTTTATCAATAAATATTATTCAAACTGATAAGCCTGCATGACCACAATGAATCACACTACATTAGGGTTCTTTGTTGTGTGATATATATTACATTAACTTTAGAATAAGAATCAACATAGACAGTGTAACAGTATATAAGAAAAAAGATGTCTATCAAATTTCCTGTCTTATTGAGATGTTAAAAAGTGACTGATGCAAGTGCTAGTAGGTTAACCCCTTGTCTAGGTAAGTACTAGCTTGGTGTGTGACAGGTCTCGGGTTTGAATCTAAGGCAAGGAAATGTACCATGAAAAAATGAATTTCCACAATATGACACCCAAGCTATATAACATTAACATTTAGGTTGTGTCCCATTATGCAAAACACTTTATAATTAATCATTTATAGTACAAAAAAAAAAAGTATAGTTGTATATTTGAAAATACATTGAAATTGAATCCAATATTGGCCTGTTGTCCAATGTTCATGGGCTGACCCATGGGGGGTGGTGGGTGGGTGGGGATAGGGTGGAAAGCTACCCTTTTTTTTTCCTGCATAAGTTAAAAAAAAACAAAAAAAAATGGTTTTGGTTTGTTCGGAATTTTACACAAAGCTACACAAGGGCTATCTGCACTAGCCATCCCTAATTTAGCAGTAAGACTAGAGGGAAGGTAGCTAGTCATCACTACCCACCAACAACTCTTGGGCTACTCTTTTACCAATGAATAGTGGGATTGACCATCACTTTATAACACCCCCATGGCTGAAAGGGCAAGCATGTTTGGTGGGATGGGGATTGTGAGTCAAGCGCCCTAACCACCTGGCCACACCGGGCCCTTAGGAGTAATAAAGCATAATAATTACAAAATGGGATGATTTAAAATATCTACCAAACCCACCCTTTGAAACATGCATAATTTCTGAAATAAACCACTTTGTTTGGTTTAAAATGTACCAGGAAAGCATCAAGTAGCCACTGCCCTCTAAAGTAAAATAGTGTATCAGTTGGTGTTGTTAATGCAGAAGTGTTAACAAACTGAATATTAATGCAGATATAGTAAGTGATGTCCACATGTGGTAAACTGTTTCACGTGTAGTAGAATAATGCTGACTAAACTAGTGTAACGAGGTGACAATCCACTGTTTCACGTGTAGTAGAATAATGCTGACTAAACTAGTGTAAAAAGGTGACAATCCACTGTTTCACGTGTAGTAGAACAATGCTGACTAAACTAGTGTAACAAGGTGACAGTCCACTGTTTCACGTGTAGTAGAATAATGCTGACTAAACTAGTGTAAAAAGGTGACAATCCACTGTTTCACGTGTAGTAGAACAATGCTGACTAAACTAGTGTAACAAGGTGACAGTCCACTGTTTCACGTGTAGTAGAATAATGCTGACTAAACTAGTGTAACGAGGTGACAATCCACTGTTTCACATGTAGTAGAATAATGCCGACTAAACTAGTGTAACAAGGTGACAATCCACTGTTTCACGTGTAGTAGAACAATGCCGACTAAACTAGTGTAACAAGGTGATAATCCAACTACATGCAATTGGAAATATATTGTGATCAGATTGTACAATCTTCATGTACTTAAATGAAAATACCTGAAATTACTTTTTTCCCTTCTGAACAGGGAAGATATTGGTTTTAGGATTGTATGTGAACAGGTTAGCCATCATCCTCCCATCAGTGCTTTCTATGCTGATTCTCCACATTATATTTTCCATGGATCCATATATCCCAAGCTCAAGTTCTGTGGAAAGACTTTGGAAATAAAACCAGAAGGGATGCTTACTGTCAAACTTTTAAGGTAAAGAGGAAGTATCAAGCAAAGTTTCTATGCTATAAAGTTCTGTAATGTAAGAATTTTCTTTATGTCATTTTATAGTGACACTTTCAAAGTAAAATTGCTCATAAGCTACAAAATTAATATTATTAATATTATTATGATAAATTGTTATATCAACAAGTACATTCAATATGACATTCTATTTTTGTAACAAATGTTCAGAAGGTACTTATTAATAGTACAGTGGAACGATATAGAAAAATAAGTATATTAATTACTTAATTCAGCAGTTAAATTTAGAATAACTAGTTTTTAGTCATGATTTGGCAAAAATAACTGCATTTACAGAATTTAGATGACACATTAAAATGTGATATTTACATATAAAACTTCTCTACAAATCTTTAATATTTTGTTACAATTCTACAGTGCAAGTAACTCGCTGTTGAAAGAGTTTCATATAGATATTTCCATATCGTTAATTAAAACTTTTCATAAAATAAAGAATTTACATTTCAAACCTCATTTAAGATTGTACACAATACGTTTTCATTCACCAAAAATAATTCCTGAACCAAAGTGATAGTTAACAAGATATTCAGAAAATTTCCACGTGGACAAGAATAAAAACCCATCCAAAATAAAATATATTAGAAAACTGAACATATTTGAAGTAAACAGTGTCACAAAAGGATTAGCTGAGTATTGTAGATGTAAGTATCTACATGATTCCAAAATCGTGCAGTAAAACTAACAAAATATATTAAACAATGATCATGCTCTCTATTAAAAAAGGTACATCCCTACATGTAACTGTACTAACAGATGCAAAAATTAATTAACCAAATAACATTGAACAAGAAAAGTTATAAATGCTATTCCTGACAGGTAAATAGATGATTTATTATTTTTAAAGCAAACTGTATTAAATCTATATAAAACCCTAAAAATATATTATAAAGCATGATATACCTGATCTATTCTTGCATGACATTTATTTAAATTCTTGTTGTTCATTCCTTTGGTATATGGCTTTACATATTTTTAAACAAGATTAGTTTAAGTTTGTTGTCTTTATTTAAATGATTAAAACTTGACAATATATTACATAATACCAAATTATATCTGTTACCAGAGTGTGTTGTTATATCCAAATGCCTTAAGGCTGAAACATTATGTATTTAAATTTAAAAATTATTTAAGTGTGTTTAACAGTGGTAATAAAATATTATGTATTTTTCATTCTGTTCTAAACAATGACACTTTTCATGCTCAAAATAACACTTTCTAATCTAAGCAATATTATGATCTATTAGTTCAGATCTTCATCAACCATTAACAGATACAAACATCATTTCTTAACAAGCTCCAATGTATGGATAAAGCCTACTAAAACCTTTCAGATGGATTACAGTCCTTTCTACCCCCCCCTCCATTTTTAACCTTTGAAAAACTTAATTTCAATTTTTGATATAAGCTTGTTTTATATGAATTACTGATTTTATGAATTACCATTTGATGGTTGATTGTAGATGTTTTTAAATTTAAAATAACATAAGAAATAATGTAAAAACTATAATTCATGAAACTCCACTAAAACAAAAAATCACAAATGGTGAATAACTGTGCTACGTATATTGTGTCTAAGGTAAACAGGGTTAGTAAAGAATTATCTTTTTTTTCTTTTTTAAGACACGATGAAACATACACATGGACCAATGTAACTTGCTGTGTCCATAATATAATAGTAGGAAAACTCTGGTTTGAGCAGGTAGGTAACTTTTTAAAACTTGAAGTTGTACTAGAAGAAAGAGTTGAGTAAAAACAAAAAAATAAACATGTGCGAAAAAAAAATCTAAATCAAACATGATGGATAAAAAGTTACCAAAGTTTGTTGGTTGATTCAAAGAAAAAAAAGTAGCTTTTTTTTCATTTTGTTGCTACAATTAATAATTTGCATCTTAGAAAATTAATTTTAATTAATGGTTCTTGTGACATTACAATAAGCCTGATAATAAATTTTAAGAAATCCTTCTTTATTGGCTTTGTAATTTTGTTTTGATGTAATATCACGTGAATTAATGAAATATAAATCATGCTTCACCGGCAAAAGGTATTATACACTATATTACTTTTAATTGTTTGCTGTTGTTTTTTAAGGAAAAGTTGTATCTTATTTCTAAATATGAGTGAGGTAGATCTTGTGAACTCAAGCATTACACCACTTTGATGTTCATGTCTCTGTAAGCCCCATGGTTACCTTACCATAGACAAATAATGTATGACTGATGAAGTGTGTAGAATGATAATGTTGAAATAACTTAAGAGGAAATAAGAAGAAAATATGAAAGAATATAATGCAGATAGACATAGCTGAAGATGACATGACCAGTTTGTCATAATTTTTATTACAATGTTTGTTTCTATCTCTGATGTAAAACTTAAAAGCTCTTCTACCGTAAAAGTGTGTACTCTGAATTTCACTATAAACACTTTACAGAAAATAGTGACTAAAACTATGATAATTGTCCTAACAAATTTAGAGGGTAATGATTAGGTTAAGCATTGCATTATTGTTGAGATGATCACACTTGTCGATTGAAAGCATGTCGAGTAAATGCGTAGTTTACCTGCTCAAAGAAAAGTTTGAGATAAAAGAAACTGCATAGAGGTGGTATGATTATGTAGTGTAAAAAAAATTGTTGAAAATCCTAGCTCCTGGAAGGTGTGCAAAAGATCTAGAAAACCTCAAACCTGACTTATAACTGAAATACTTCACTCTCATTGGATCATTGTACTACAGCCTCTACAAAGAAAGAACTGATCCTAGGGGTATTCTCCTCCCTTATTGTTGTTCTTCCCCCCCAAGCCCAGGTTTATATGTAGCAAGAAGGAAGTGTAATAATAAAGAAGTAATGTAAATGAAGAATTTTAGATGATATTTACTTAGAAAGGGAACTGCATGAATATTAAAAACAACAACAACAAAAAAAAAAGAAACCAATGGAACAATCTTCTCTAGTTGTCAGAAATTTCTTTGATACCATGTTCAGCCCAGTTCAAATCAGTAATGTCATTTTAAACCAAATAACTAAAGGTTATTGTTACGTCTCTGTATGTTTGTTTGTTAATTTTTCTACTATAAAAGTCCTTTCTTAAATAAAACTTGTTTATTCTTCCTCAATACAACTTCGCAATACACTTAATTTTCACAGTTACACACACTATAGTTCACAATAATTCACTCACTTTCTACTGTGCTTGACTCAATTGTCCGTCTCTATCTCCGCCTGTCAGCAACTATAGTTCCGATCTTGTATCTGCTATCCTCGGTTCCCGCCGACCGTAACTGCTGTCCTTGGTTCCCCACTCTCTCTCTGTCTAGCGAACTTGTATACGATAATACCGCTTGTTCTAGAATCTTCTAGGCTCTCAACACGTGCTACCAGAGTCACTTGACTTCCGCTGTCGTAACACACTAGCGTTTATAGCGAAGCTTCTAGAATACTTGTCACGTGACCCCTGCTGTCCTAACACTGCCCATTCCTTAGTATTGTTCGTCCCAAACAATAGCCACTTACGTTAAACTAATAAACAAATAACAATAACTTAATTAAATTTACTGAATTTACAAACACAAAATCAAAATTAAACAAAGTCTTTTAATTTTACGGGACATATCTTCTTCCGTATTGGTCTCCATCTCGTTGGCTTCTGCTTCAAGTGGGGTTCATCTGCTTCATCAGGAAACGTCCTATCATTGGTAACAGTCACATCAGTGGTAGTAACTTCATCAAGGACTTCACTGTTTCCCTTCTCAAAACCGAATACAGTTTCTTCCTCGACAGTGGCTTTTTCAGGTGACACGTCTTCAGCAGCATCATTTGTTCCATTGTTCACTTCATCTCAACTGAAATGTCCTGGACCGTGGTAACGCCAAAGCCTGTTGGCATGCACCACCTTTGGCTTACCTCGCTGACCACAATTTATCCGGAAAGTCAAGTCTGAGAAACGATTCACTATGTCATATGGGTATTCCCATGGAGAAGACAACTTAGGAGACTTCCCTTTGGTCTTCCTGGGATTATACAACCACACCTTGTCTCCTGGTACAAAGCTGATTTCAGTAGATCTCTTATCATAAGATAACTTTATTGAATCAGCAGACGTTTTCAAGTTTGAACGCACTTGATGGTGAATATCATCAATCCTTTCAGATAACACTTTCACGAACTCTGGCACATTTTCAGGAAACTCTTCATAAGGTGGGCATCCCTTGTGCTTGGGTCCCCTTTTAGCACAACATGTACTGCATGTTCTGCACCGTTCTTCCACATCTCGCCTCATATCTATCCAGTAAAATATTTGTCGTAGGTGACTCAATGTCTTCTTAACTCCGAGATGTCCTCCTGTTAAAGTATCATGGGATTGACGCAGCACAACTTCCCGTAACTTTCTTGGTATAACCATTTGCCAGGTCGTCACTTTCCCATCTGCAGTTTCCCATCTCCGGAGAAGAATACCATCTTCAAGCTTCAGCTTGTCTAATTGAAGTTTCTAAATTTTAAGTATTGGGTGTTGGAGGCTACGATGAGGATTCTGCTGTTTACAAAAGGATTTAGATCATTTGGCAAGTTGGTAAGATATATAGCAAATGAGTTGTGATTTTAATAACTGTAAGGTAATGGATATGGGTTATGATAATATAAACTGTAAGTATAATTTTGATGGGAATAACTAATGGTGCTAAAGAAGAAAAGGATCTTGGTGTTTTGGTTGATCAGTCTCTTAAGCCATCCAAGTAGTGTGTTGCTGTGAGAGGTTATAATTTTGTAATGTAGGTCACTGAAAAAGGGCTCATTTAGAGTACTGTGTTCAGTCTTGGGCTCCTTACCTTATAAAGGACATGGAATTGTTGGAATGATTTCAAAGGAGGGCTACCAGAATGATACCAGGGGTGGAAAGTCATATGGGGACAGGTTAAGATCTATAAACTTTTCTACTAAAATAAAGTTAGAAGTGTATAAGGGAATTGATAGTACTGACGCAACATCTTTTTTTTTTCGTACTTAATGGTGAGAATGGTTGGACAAGGGCATAGAAATGAAATAAACTTTGTAGGGTAGGAGTCATCTTCACCTAATAATACACATTTAATTTTCTAACAGGGTGGTTGACCTTTGGAATGGGTTGACCTCGTATATGGTGGATGCAGTAAATTTAAGGGAGGGATTGGTAAATATTTACATGATAAGGGCTGGCTTAAAGTTTTTTTTCATTAAAGTTGTGTTACATTAGTACTAATCACTGTGTAGCTTGATGGGAGCATAAACTATGACTGTAGTCTTAAATACAAATAAAGTAAAAACATTTAGTGAAAATGTAAGAGAAAAACATGAGAGATACTCTTTGTAACTACCATAATGCTTTTTATGAAAACAGTAAAGATTGCAAACAACCAAAACTTGTAATAAAAATAATGGTCACCATCACTAGCAATAAGTTGCATTACTATTTTATATCTGTTAACAATATATATATATATATATTGCCCTCGTTACAATCAGTTTTTATGGATTTTCCTGTATTCACTAACTTTTAGAGTTTTAGAAGATTCTAGGTTACGCCTAGTTTAATTTATTTGGATTTGCTTTTGAAACTTGTATTGAAAGAATATGATATTTATTATATATCTCATTACTTAACTGTTACTATTGAAATTACACAATGAGGTATATAATATTTCAGTTTTTTCCTAAATATCGATTAACCAAATTATAAGAAAATCCTTAAAAGCTTTTGAAGAACATAGTAGTATTGAAACCATAAAAGAAATCTTTTTTTGTTGATTGTAGTTAGAAATAAATATCAGCAAATGTTTAAAGTGTCCCAGTAAAAATGCATCAAAATTAGGAAAATTACTCTCTGGAAAAGCAGGAGAATGCATAAAATTTAATCCAGAACCCAAGAGCTTCCAGGGCCTTGTGTCAAGCCCTGGACCTAGGCCATAATGGGTGCTCCTATGGTGTACATTCCCTTGCTTGCTCCATCAAATAAATCTTGGGTGCCCCCACTTTTAATTTGCCTCCTACACTTCTGTATATGTTTTACAAATCCTTAAAATAGAGGGAAAAAATTAATACTTTAATAAAATGAAACTTATTTAATGATTAACAAAGTTTGTCAGATGAGTCACGTGAATTTTAAAAGAAAAGTTTTATTTGTTAAACATGGTATTTGATAATAGCCACATACTACTGATGTGTTTTTTTTATTTTTACTTTTGATGTAGTATGGCATGTTAGAGTTGACTGGTCATGACACTGATCTTAGTGTTGTTCTCAACTTTAAACAAGCAGGTTGGTTTTGTAAAGATTTGCACCGGATAGAAGGATTTGTATATAATAAGCAGTGAGTATGTTTTTTTTTTTCAGTGTCCCAATTGGTGTTTTTTCTAGTTGCAAAGCTTTAGAATTGTTTATTATTAATAGATATTACATAAACTCACTAAATTGCTTTATTTATTTATGCAAGACATGCTAAAACTAGACCACAGACCCATTAAGTCTGAATACATACAATAATTTATTAAATTGTATAATATATAATGTATATTGTACTTGTTTAGGAACAAATATTTTAAATATTCATAGATTTCTACCTCAGAATCTCATAAATTCCATCTAACTTAACTTAAGTGTTATTTGCTGTGGAAGTAGGACTCAAAAGTGGTACATACCATATTAAGGGGGTAGTGTAGTGGAATGGACACATTGTATACCCATATCTAATTTTGATTGAAATACATTTTCTAGCTTGTGCCCATGTAATCAGAATGAAACAGATAGACATATGCACTTCCAAGTCTTTAATGAGACCTCAACATTACCCAGGTTGTCAAATCTTGACTTATGTTTAAAGACACTACATTTTAAGAAACATTAATCATATTTTATGTTTTGTTTTCTTTTAGTCTAAGCTGTATAAATTATCAGAAACTCTTTAAATTAAAATTGTAGGAAATTAAACTTACAATTATTGCAAAATATCAAGGTTGCAGATACTGTAAATTGGCTCGTCCCTTTCCACCTAGGCATATACACCACTACTTAAGGGAAACTTGTAGCCAAAACTGCCCTGTGCCTAAAGCTATTAAAAAGATACTGAATGGAGTGGAAAATACCACCAAATTCTCAGATTTTGGTTTTGTAATTGATAAAGTTATGGATTGTAAAAGCATTTTAGAGACATGTGTAGTCTTTCCTTTTTCTGTTGTTCTCACCATTGTCATTGTACTACTGCTGATTGTGACTTAAAATTAATTCAACTAGATTCAACATCATTGTGCCTAGGTTATGATGTTGGCAACTGCTTGTTTGGAGTATGTCAGAATAATATAAATTATGAATGTAGTTTTTATGCACAAAATCATATTCACAAACAAAATTAGGCCTATTCGTGTTTAATTGCTAATGTAGTCAAGTGTTTTTATCACTTAACTCGTACAAAGCATTTTTCTATAATTTCTATCTTATGAAAAGGTCTAATTTTCTTTCCATTGGAAGAAAGAGATGTATACTTTATATAGATTCCAAAGAAAGTTTCTCAAAATACTAATAATAGTTTATTAGTGAAACCATGATCATGAAAAAACGATGTATTTGTGAAACATACACTTGTCTTGGTGAAACTCCATAATTACAGAATTGAGGAAAAACAAGTACCAACTGTTTCAAGTATTAATTATATAAAATGAAGTTTACTTTGAAAAGAATTTAAAATAATTTCTACTACAAGTTAGAAATATATCAACAAATGTTCAATTTTCTGGGAAGTCTTGAAGTTGTTCACAAGTTGTCCATGTTCTCTTAAATGTCCTTAATCACTAATAGATTGCTCTAGTTTGTGATTTTATAGCTAGGATGATAACTTTGTAGCTGCTTTACTAGTCAAAACCCGCCATTCATCTGGCATCTTTATTACATACTTAAGTATTAATTAATACATGGTTTTAGAAATATTAAAGGAACAAATCATAAAAGTAACATTTGCAAGTCTGGTATTATGATATAAAGGCTGTTGTCAGTCAAATTAAATGAACTAAAATGTAAAAGCTGTGAATCTATACACAAGTCAAATTAAAGCCACATCTTGCAATATAAAGGCCATACTTTAATGTATGTTAATGTCAGTTAAATTGAGCTTAAATCATCTTTCAAAATAAAGATACCTGATGCAGTATGGTAGTTGCACTTAGACGGTTACTAATAAATATTTTCTTATGTTTCCTGTTCATATCAATCAAAATAAATTAATTTTGGTTGTTCTGTTAGTAAGTCATATACCTTATGCTACCCATTTTTACAGGAAGACAAAACTTCGTTTTCTGTATGGAAAATGGACAGAATATCTGAAGAGTGCTGAAGTTGAAGCATATGAAGATTATATTCACACACATCCAAAACAATTTTGTCCTCCTGACAGAGCACAACCTCTAAGTGTCCAGAACACCTCATTGTTTAGTAATATTCCAACAAGCAGTCCAGTTCACACTCCAAAGAAAATAGTAGAAAAATTTCATAGTTTTACAAGGTCTTTTTCAAGCAGTAGCAGTGGATGCAAAACAGTTAGTACAGAATTTTCAAGCATGCTGTCTATGGTAAGTGTATAAATTAATAACATGTGCCTCAAATTTTCATTGATTAAACTTTCAACATCAGTTTCATGGCTAGTTGCAGTTGTATAAATCAGTCTTTTTCTTTCTATTAAAATTGAAAAAACTATTGAAATATTAGGTTATAATGAAAGAAACAAGTGAAAAAAACCATGTGATACAAAAAATTCTAAACAAAAATGTAAGATTCCTAATATTTACTGCTATTTATTACTTGCAAATTGTATGGTTTTGTCCCATTATTTATTCTTCATGAGCAACAGCTCATGCCTTCAGTATACGTTAAGTGTACATAGTCGGCTATTAAAGAGCAAAATGTTATATTTACAAACATTATCAGTAGATATTCTAATTACATTTATTTTTAGGTTATAAAGTATGCCAATACATAAATGTTGATTATGTTTAAATTCTACATTATAGAGACCATTTTATGAGCTACATTGTCCATTATATTTTTTAAAAGGCATTTAGGATCACAAAATATAATGGATTTATAATTTTCAAAAGACACATGTAATACTAGTAGATACCCACTTCTGCCATTGATGTAAAATAATTTGGCAACATTCAAAAGAATGATGTGAAGACTACTAATTTTTTTTACCTCAATTTTTGGCATCATTCATTTTTAATGTTTTTTTTTTTTTTCAGCCTGTCAAAGATGATGTTAATGGTATAATACCTAAAAGTGATTCTTCTTTATCATTGGACATACTTAATTCTGTAATACTGTGGCAAGCTGATCCCAGACCTGAATACTCTGCTGAGGTTTGTTAATAAGTTTCAATTCTATGTAATATGAAAATAAAAATGTGTTTGTTATAAATCTTACAATTTATATTTGAAAATAACCTTGCACTTTGACCCAGACATGTCAGACTGGCATCATCAAGTAAGTTCGTAGACATATCTCGAGTACAAATACTTTTGTAGCACATCCGAGTTGTTGTGTACAACAGACTTATACATGTTACTAACAGCTTGTCACATTTTGTATAGATACACATAGTAAATTCAGAAATATATTCGACATTCCTTCTCCAATATGGAGGTCAATCCAATCGACCAACTTGTGCATGTTCAGTTAATAAGCATAAAATTCATTTCTTTTTAGTGAAGAATAAATATACTTTTGTCCATCATATAGATTGCATAGTTAATTTGCATAACCTCTAGAACCTACAAAATGTACATCTGCTGTTGTTGTTTTTTCCCTTCAGTATCCCTGTATATTGTATACGATATTTAATGTCCTCTAACACAAACTGCCATTAAATCAGCAGTGTAAGGTAGAATGAATGGTTGATTAATCTGACACCAATCACATAATAGCACTCTGTTGAAGTTCATGGTATGTGCAATTTAAATCCCATCCCTGCAAATAGGGTTAATTGTTTGCTTGATGTCTAGCATTTGTCATTATGTTATAATTATAGGGAAATGCAAAACACTACATGGAAGAGTCACAGCATAATATAACTATAAAAGTGACAGATTTAAGTTTCTAGTGTTTTTTTTGCTGTACATAAAATATATGAACTGGGAGGATAAATACTTTTTAAGCTTTAAAAATACACTAATCCCATTAGTGCCTCTAGTATTGATGTGATTATATAACAAAGTAACTTGAAATGTTTATCAAATAAAGAAGTGACAAACCTAATCTATTTACTGTTGAGAGAAATGAAGTAGAACTTATTTCTTGAACTAACCATGAAACAGGATAGTTTGCTTTTCTTATTACCAAAATTGAAAAGCTAGTAGTGAATTAACTAATGAGAGTAAAAACTACTTTGTAGTGGCACTGTTTTACACCTAGTCTATTAAAACTTTGAATAAAAAGTATTTTTGAGAATAAGTATATTGAAATTACAGTTGCAGTGTTAAACACAGATATTTGTGTATTAAAAAAACATAATTAATGATTTAATTTATTTCTAGTTATTTCTAGTTCACATACAATTAAATATCTCTGTATTTAGTACTATACAGAAATTTGTATATTTTTATTGATGCATTTATTTGCTTAGCTGTTCCAAATGATGGATTAAAACTTTGTATGTTTACTTCTTGTTTCTATAAGAAAATACTGTAATAATTAATGTATAAAGTAGATGAAATTGAAATTAAATCAGATATTACTTTGAACTGCATGCTTGATTAGGACATTTTTCAAATACGGAGGTGGCATCAGTGAGGGGATGAGGTGAACTCCATGAAAGATTGAGGTGGCTGCACTCTACATTTTGTGGGTACACATGCTGTAGTATTTAGGAAGTGAACCAACTTTAAAATGAAGCATTCTTTGTTTGATGTTGGGATTACAGGGGGAGGAACTAAGATGTATTTTGGGGTAGTTAACCCATAATAAGTCGCCCCTCCCCTCCTTACTGACAATCCTTGAAATACAGTATGCCTAAATTTTGCTTACTATTTAAAAGCAGTATTTTAAATACAGTATGCCTAAATTTTGCTTACTATTTAAAAGCAGTATTTTTCTAAGCAGCCGTATGAAGTAATTTAGAATTGTTGTATTATAATATTTGAGTAGTGTAAACCTGATTAATCTTAAATTAGTATATTTTAGTATTGCTTTTATGTATCACTAAGCACAAGATAAAATGCATCTTCTACTTTATAGCATATAATTTCATAAAGACATAAAACTTGTAAGCTGCATGAAAAAACTCGCTTTGATAAATATATATTGTGAAAATCAAATGGCAAGAAAAGTATGTTCTGTAATTTATCAAGTACGAAATATGAATACTTAATATTCATTCTGCATTGATGTTGCATCTAAAATATTAGAACAGAGTGCACTGAAAAATGCAAATGCATACTGAGGACAACAATGCAAAGAATTATAATCTGCGTGATAAAGTATACTTCGGGAAGAAACGGCTAACTCATAACTGAAACTTCTACTTCCCAAAAGTCACTTTGAAAATGTTTTTATCATTTTTGACCTCAATGAGGAGTGATATAAAGAGAAATACAGACTATAGTAGGTCTGGAGAACCTTTTTTTACCATGAAATATTAGTGAAAAAACGATAAACAAATTTGCAACCATTTTCTAATATATGTAGATAAAACTGGAGACGCTTGCATGTTTTTAACATTGTCTACGTACTTGTGCTTTTCATTGTTACTAAATATGGCTTTCAATATTGCTCTAAACAAGTATTTCAGCTAAGTTTTGAAAGATCATTATTGAAAACGTTATAAACAAATGTCAGAAAATGCTAATACTTTTTTTCTCATATTATAAAAGAGAAAAATTGAACGTGTTCTGATATTACATTCTTACCTATATATTTCAGTATTACTACTTTACACTGTTTGCCATGGCTCTAAATGAATTAGATGATGACTTGAGACATCAACTTCCTCCTACCGACTCTCGTTTAAGGCCAGACATTCACAAACTTGAACTTCGTGACATTGGTAAGATTTTAAGTTCTGAAAATTTTTCACAAGAATAACTTTCAATTTAAAGCAGGTTTAGAAGACTAGCTGATGTATCTCTTCAACGCATGGGAAAAGACACGGGAGGGGAGGAGGGTGGCAGAACCAACTTGCATGTCTACCAGCACCAATTTGTTTTCTTCACTTTGTTTCTTCAAGAGCTTCATTTGATCATGTCAATTGTTTTCCCTTTTGCTTCGGTTATCTTAATTTTTCCTAAGCTTTTTTGATTTTGTTGTGCCATCTATCTACTTTTCTTTCTCTTGCTAAGTGACGTTTTCTTTTTTTAATTGTTTCGGAACTATTTTTAGTTTTATTCAGAATTTCAGTTTAGTATTATTTTTCATAGATGGCATTAGAAGTGTTATTTTGAAATGAAAAGCCTAGGTGGCTTGATGCTGTAAGCATGCAATCTTTTACTTTGAATATTGATCAAAATCTTAAAATCCTGATTTAATACATAATGGTATTGAAAGAGTTTGGTGTAAATATAATACTTTTAGTTGTTGTTATAAGAGTCCCAACTTGACTGGGCTTTGAACATGAGGCTTCCACATGAGAGTTAAGTATTTTTACCACTGAGTCATTTTGACATACTGTGTTTGAAGTCTAATGTTAATAAATATTAATATTAAATTTCATGGTATTTTGTTTTTCCAAATGTTGAAGGAGCTTGCTCAAAATTTGATCACTTATTTAGAAAACAAAATTATAAAAAGTCCCAACTGCACTGATATTTGAATACGAGACTCCCACACGAGGGCTGGGTGCTCTAACCAGTGAAGCAATTTGAGCATTACTGAGAAACATAGCAAAAGTCCATAAAGCTGCATTTAGGGGCTTATATAAAAGCCACTGTTGGTAACTCTCCCATGTTTTCCTTTCCCTCTTTCTCTGCTTCTTTGACTCCCGCTGTTTTTCTTCTATTCGATTCTTTTCATATGCAGCGCCATCTTTTGAGAGAAAAAATACCAATAAAACCTCTAATCACATAAGATAAAAATAATGTATTTAATTACATTATCAGTACAATAGGATGACCATTCATTTAAGTTACTGGTTTATGGGAATATTTTTTGGCTGCAAAAACACATAACATCATATAACATTATATAGAGTGAACCAGATACTAGTGTGAAAAACATTTATTAACTTTTAAAATAAATATAAACATTGATATTAAATTATACATCAGTCTATAAGTAAATCCTTGACCACAAGCTAGCCTACACTCTGAAGTAACTGTACAATTTAAAAACTTTGTAAACAATCTCAAGTATGTACCTGAAGCTTGCCTGTGTAATGGCCAGTATGTGACCCATAATGAACATAAAGAGAACTTTGAGAAATTTACCATGTGGCAAATGAACACAATTTTTCTTTGCTTTGTGCTTGTCTCTTTATGATATAGTTAGTTCCACAACTAGGTAATAAATCTGTACTGTGGTTAATCACTAAGAATGATGTTCCAGGTCCAGAGTTGGTTTCAGAATTATTACTTCTATCATCAATGATGCTAAATCTATTGATCATGATTATGCACTAATGCCCGACAATGTGGTTGTCATTGTAACAATCTTACAATGATGAAGTAAATCTTAATCTACACACCTTGATAAACTTTCCGCAGATCTTCTACTGGACAGTGACTTGTAAGACAATGTGTCCAAAGTAAGCAATACTGTATTGATTTTAATCATTTGATTCCTCTTGATATCATAGTTTTTGTGTTCAAAGGCTTAAGTAATCTTATAGTAATGTAAGTCAAGGAAGAAATGTTTTAAATTTGGGTTCTTTCTCGAACCATACATCACATAATAAATGGATTGTAATTGCTACTAGAATAAAAAATAAATGTTTTATTGTTGAATAATGTACATGGTGATCAGCCGAACCATTTTTCTCCATCATGTACAGATTTTTCGCAAAAATATCATAATACAATACATAAAAGAAAGACCACAACATGTAATTTTGAGACTACTAAACGTGGATTTCACAAAAAATATGAGGATGTATATTCGTTTGACATCAATGTTCTTCCATTTTCTTCAGTTTGTTTGTATTTTTGTTAACAAACATAATAATAAAAAATGTTCATTTTGGTAAACAAAATAATTTGTAAAAAAAATCCTTACATGAGAGAAAAAAATTATTAATATTTTCGAAATCTGCATAGCTGAATTATGGAAAATCTGTTATTAAAACCAAAACCACTTTTATGAAGTTTAAGTTTGTAGGCCTGTGTTATTTTTTTTCTTCAGAAATAATTTTGATAATCATATTACAAAGGTTTGATGTACAAGAGGTGTCAGGTTATTGTTTTATGGTATGTTTTATAGGTGGTTCAAACAAGAAGAAAGTCAACACACTAAGACTAATGATTGGATTTATGCTGGAGGCTACTGGGAACGAGAATTTTCTTCTTGTCCAGATATTTTTTGATAGTATATGATTTCTATCTTGTAGTTGGATATATTTATGTCATGAAAAACAAAATTGTTCCTCCAAGTAGAATAGATATGATGATTAGTACTCTTTAATTGGTTTAATATACTGAATAGGTTAATCCCTTTAAATGTTCATATTTTAATGGCCCAGCATGGCCAGGTGGTTAGGATGCTTGACTCTCAATCTGAGGGTCGTGAGTTCGATTCCCCGTACCACCAAACATGCTTGCTCTTTCAGCCGTGTGTGTGTGTGTGTGTGTGGGGGGGTGTTATAATGTGACAGTGAATCCCTCTATTCATTGGTAAAACAGTAGCCCAAGAGTTTGTAGTGGGTGGTGATGACTAGCTGCCTTCCCTCTAGTCTCTCACTGTTAAATTAGGGATGGCTAGCACAGATATCCCTCATGTAGCTTTACGTGAAATTCGAACCAAACAAACATATTTTAATATGAAAAAAATTCCTAACAAATTACCTGAAACGGGCGACTTTTATGATGCAGACTTAATTCTGAGCTTGTCTATTTTTATATGGTAATTCAAGTAAGCTATATATTTCATCAAAAAGTTGCTTTCATGTTTATTTGTACTTTTTAATGTTTAATAATATTTATCTTTTTTTCAACCTAAACAATTACAAAATCAAACTTACTTAATAGGAAAAATTTCCAAGTACTTTAAACTCATTGTACTGACAATAAATCATTTTTAACATATTATAATTTTGTGGATTATAAGTTTAAGATTAATATCTTAAATAAATGTAATATAAAGCTTTGCTTTAAAATTATTTAATGATTTTAATTTTATCATTATACCATTTTCAATTTTCATCACAATCCAATGTTTCATATTAACAATGGTGATTTCAAAATATTAATAGGAATTAAGAACATTTGTTCATGTCCTGAACATTTATTACAAAATATATTAGCACAACATAATTCGTACCTTCATGTTGATGTTCAGTTACTGACAATTTTAACTTCAGTTTTCTAACATAAAAAAACTACAATTGAGTTGTGTTCCACTGGTCAGAGTGAAGCTTCTTAAGTAAAACAACTTGCATAACATAAGATCTGTTTTTTTTAATTTTGAACCACATTATTTAATATGCTAAAAAATAGATGTATTTTATGCATTGGCTTTATGCAATAAACTCTCGCTTTACCCCTAGATAACAGAAGATGTTTTCTGTAAGCATAATGAGTTAAATCCATGTTTTATATAAAAGTTATCACCCCACCCCAGTTAATCTCTATTGTCATTGTACTAATAATATTGCAGGAAAACAAACTTTTTTTGGGGGGGGGGAGGTTCATAGCAAGCTGGTTCAAACTTGTAATGTCACATAAGCAGCTAGGGTAATCATAATGCTTTACCTAATTGATAATGGTTGTAACATTTTAATTATTCAACCAGGTTTTATACATTGTGGGACATGTGATGCATGAAAATGATATACCTTTTTTTTTTATAACATCCTTAACTTTCAGAGCACGGTTTGTCTCTGCAGTTAAGTGCTTATTTCTTTAAAATGAACAAAACACAGTGCTCAGAAATTTATTTATTAATTTATAAAAAAAAATAAAAAATGTAGCTTTATACACTATTGTTTGAATATGTATGAGGTTACATTTTAGTTGGGTGATCTTACTTAACCAAAACCAAACCAGACCTCAGTATAGCTAGGATAAGTGTTAAGCATCAAATCAAGAATAAAAGCTAGTTTACAAGCAGGTTAGCAGTTAGAAGGTTCCCCAAGCTGGTTGTTGCTGCAACTAAAGTAGCATAGAAGGATTAAAATATTCTTGTCACAAATTTGAAAATATTCCAAATGTATCTTCTTCTTAACATCAAATAAGCTTCTATTTACATTTGTATATTAATCTATAGGCTTTGATTACTTTGGTAGAATGCTTTTCATATAAATTTGTGTGTTTGTTAATTTGAACAAGCAAGTTGTAATACAAATTCTAATTGAGAAAATTGATAAAGGAGAATAACGTAGAAACAATTGTTGAAAAATAGTTATAATTATGTACATGTATCAAGAGGATTTACATTTAGATTAGTGCATGAAAGTGTAGAATTTCTTTAAATTTTCTTAAACACCAAACTACTACAGTCACCACAAAGATATATTCTTAGAATTCTACCATAAGTGTTTCTTTTTAATATATTACATAGGTATTGATTACGATTTTAAGTTTTAAAAATCTGTGAAAATTTAGGAAAAGCTAGGTATGTTTTGTGTTTTTTTTTTATATGGAAATAAAACAAGTATTTATTTTGTAGCATATCAGAAAGAATAGTACAAATATTTTTAGACCACAATATTTGGTTTTCTCTTATTATCTTTTTCAATGCCGTACATGGTTGTTTTTAAAGTTAATAAGCATTATTTTCTTGTTGTTGTTTTAATGGTGATTATCAGTATCGGGCAGCTCAGCCATTGTCTATCCAAGTACATATTTTAGTTTTTCGTCAATATGTGTTAAAAGGTGTAAGGAGATTTTTGCATGTTGATATTTAAAGATAAAAAGAACATATAATGAGCATACTTTAAAAGTTTAAGAAATGGTTTAACCTTAAGTTTTAACTAGGCTTAAGACTAATTAAAAACATTTCTAAAACATAATGTAAAACAACTTATAAAGAACTTAATAAAAATTAAATTGAAACTTTTCACCCTCCACTGCTGGTGAGACCACAGTTTCTATAATTATAAAACAGTCAGCTCTTGAAAATTTCATGGGTAGCAAATGTACCATAATGTTTGTCATTTCACTCTTGACTACTTTTTATTGTGTATGTCTTATTTTATGTCATGAAATATAATTCTTTGGAGAGAATTGGAGAAATTAAGCTTTAAGTTAAGTTTTTTAAAAATCTTTTCATAAAACATTAAATTCAGATGGCTTTTTGAAGTAACTGTCTTCTCTGGCGTTATTTATTCAAATGATAATGTTTGATCAATATGAAATCATTAAAACATTTTAGGCCGAATATAGGAAATATGCGAAAATTCGATCAACTTCTGTAGATTATTTGTTCACACTTTTCCCCCCTTTAATTTCTACTTTAAAGGTATAAACAAAACGCTGCTACAACCAGTATCAAACGAAAATAATTAATTGAAATGTATAAAAAGAAATCCAAAATAAAAATTTCAAAGAACTATGATACAAATTTGATCACTTATTACAAAAAATTAAATAGTAAACCCGTGCCTGGCCAGGACTATGTACAAATGTTAATAAACAATACAACACAAATCTCAATGTTATAAATTTCAATAAATATATAAGAAATTGGAAAAAAGAACCAGAAGAAGGGAAAAAAAAACTTAATTCACCAGCGAATAACAAATTTTCCAGAATTAAACCACTTCTCAATATCAAGAACAATACTGAGCAATAGTTCTTTCTAACTATATCTTGTAAACTAACTCGTTTTCAAGATCAAGGAAGGCTTTTAATTTAGTGGTTAAACCACGATGTTACATTTCACGTGACTAGTTATTACCAAAAAATCTACATAATCTTTCAAAACATTAATATCTGTACGTCACCACTAGGGGAAGCTTGTGTCAGTTTCATAATACATAAATACTCAAAATCAACGTGCTCTAGGTAGAAGATGAGTTTGCGTTTTAATATAACTAAAAATTCATAGTTGAAATGATAGCAGGAATATTTCGAGGGACACTCAGTAGAGTGTATACCTCCGCTACGCAGCGTTGATCAAATTCGGTCCTCAAAAAATACAAAAATTTGTCCGTATGTTCGTCTTATCAACGGATACGGGCAATTTTTGGCATGGCAGTGATAAATAATATTATACATAAGACCACCAAGTTTCATCAAAATCCGATCGTTTTTGATTGAGTTATAGAGGAAAAATAGTGTGAAAAATAGGTTCCCATCTTAATAGATAAGGATTTTTTCGATATTGGTGACTGTGCTCTGACCTTGACTCTCCAAAAACTAATCCCTTCTAAGTTGGTCCATAGTCAAAATGTATACCAACTTTCGTCAAAATTCATTCGACCGTTTTCGAGAAATCTTGCTGACAAACACACGGAAAGTCAGTGGCGTAACGAGGAGCGGAAAGGCCCGTTGCCCCCCCCCCCCACCTACCCCCGAGCTTCTTCCCAAACTAATAATGTTTATGGTCAATATGGAGTAACTGAAATATGTAAAGCCAATTAAACTTTGCTTTCTTATTAATCAAATACAATGAATGAGCAGGAAGGGTTCACGTTTTAAAGAAATTTAACGTGAAGAAAAAATTTCAGCTCGATTTAGTTTTCTAAACTTACGAAATCAGTATTAGCAAATATAAGCAAAGTTTAACACAGATTTACATGAAACTTGTGAATATTCCATAAGAAATATCTTTTTAAAATATTTCTCATTTGCTTTCATCTCCGCAAGTTGACTAGTTACTTCATTAGTTTAACTGACGGGATAAAATCTTGTTCGATTGAGATAGAAGTGCCAGTCCATGTAATGGTTATTGACTCGTGGTACTTCTCCAATAATTTTTAACTTTGAAAAAGACCGCTCGGCACATGCAGTCTGAAATGCTTCAGAAAATGACCCAAATCCTCCTTCACTGTACCTTTGAATGTCGGCAATATAATTTCTTTCACCTTGTTAATGGTGGTCAGAATATATTTCACAACTTCTCAGTCATCACCTGATCAAGATGCCTCAACATTGTAAGGGTAGCATAAAAGGCAACTGAGTATAAAAAGTACTTGAAGAGTATATGTGTGAAACATTCTACTCGTTGTGATGTTATTCATGTCTAAGAAAAAAAAAAGTGAAATGAAACAAACAGTGTTGTTAAAGGTAAAACCTGGGCATAGAAACTGATCAATGCATTAATTAATATGCAATGTACCCATAGAACTTCATTCTCATTAGTAGTGTGATTAACTAGGGAGTCTGTTTCTTCCAAAATATAAAATCATTCAAATCAAGAAAGAAGAACAACACCACGCCATCTGGTAGAATAGTATATCAATACAACCATACAGTGTTAATACATCCAGCCATATATATATAAGAATTGAAAGATGTGCAACTACTTTTATGCCATTCCTACTACGATTACAAATTCAATAAAACTAAGAGATACCTTCAATTATCTCTCATGGTTAGTTGAGAAGTGAAGGAGCTATTGGACATACTTAGCACTTTGCCCGATGAAGAATACGAGTCTAAGCACATTTACACTTAATGAACTTTCTGTTTGAGTTATACGTTGAGAGTCTTATCAATAAGTTCATTTAAATCAGTCAGTAACAAAATGAAGAGACTGTATGATGACAATGTTCAGAAGCTAAGGTAAAGAAGTGGTTTCCAGAGATCAGTATCCGAGGAAGAAGTAACAATACTCCAATACAAATAAGCTTCACTTCATCAGGAACAAGGTATAGCTTTTTCATTGGGATTTCTATCCACAATTTATCACTGGTACTTACACCTATTAGATTTGATATCATACTGTTTTATTCTTTTTTAAATGACTGATTAGCGCTTTTTAAGGACAAACACAGATGACTGATTTAATTTAAACTAATTTCATCTTCATATCGCCAATAAATAGAAAATTGTGGACTTTTATAGCTCGAAGTCTTTTATACATTTTAGTCAACAACCTTAAAGAAAAGTTCTGTTCTTGATCCTAATAATATTGTATACATACCATATAAAATGGTTATAATATCATTGATTAGCTTCCACAACGGTACTCCTGCTTCTTTGTTTGATATAGCATACTTGCATTTTATTATTCTTTACCTTTATAGTGTGGTAAATGGGTTAGGGTAACAACAAACACTCTTTTAAATGGTGTCCCATCTCTATACTGTTGTAATTTCAACTAGTCTGTTTCTTCTTGGAAACTTGGCTCAGTGTTATTGTTCAATAGACCGAAGACATGGAATCTAAAATACTCTTTCAAATACTTTCCTCGAAGATTTATTAAAACCAAATATCTTAATGTCAGGAAACTGTTCAAATGAAAGTGTTTCTGATTAGAGTGGTTTTAGGAGAATTACTTTAGTTCTTCTTTGTAGCCTTATTCATTTTACTATTTCATGTACAAGATTATATGGGCCCACTTTTTCTTCGAAGATCATTCTGTTTAATCCACTTCACAAGAATCATCAAATAATTTCATTCACTGACTTCAAAACCATTTGTATGTTGTAAATGTCAAACTTACGATACTTGGAGACGAATACTGTAATATCAGTCTCCTTGTGGTGGACGAGGTGCAGGTAGCCCATTGTGTAGATTAGTGCTAAAATCGATAACATTACAATAATTTTCTCATGCAAATTTTAAGTTTTTTACTAGTTTTGTTGACTGCAACATAGTTTATAAATACGTGTTTCAAAAACTCTTCAGAGTTAATTATAAATTAAACATATCGAAATCAGGCTATGAAATGAACATAGTGTTACGTCTC